AAAACATTTGGATATTTTTTTTGGAAAAAAATATTTCTATAATTTTTTTATAAAGTTTAATTCACCTCCTAAGCTATCATAAATGTCTGATTTTTTTATTACTTCTTCATGGTTGACGTGATGTCATGTTAGTTAAAACCGCTTTCAAAACTATAATCAAACGGTTTCAAAAGAAAAAATTGGTTCTGTAGCATCGAAAGGTTATGACTTTCGTAAAATACCATTTAAAGATTTTAGCCCCGTAAAGTAGTACTAAAAGTTGCCACTGTGAACTAAAAGTATCACTCCGTCAATTTTTACATACAGATTTCGGCCCAGATCGGATCCTAATAATCCGGTGAACTAATCGCCAGGTCAAGACTACAGTCTACACTCTACAGCAGGGCCAGGAGTTGGGAGTTTGGGGTGGGAGGGCAAGTCGGTCAGAGCAGCCCAGCGAGACACGTGTGGGCGCGCGGCCAATGAGCGGCCGCCACGGCGGCACTCGCCGGTGCCCGATGGTATCCGGGCCGGAATATATTCCGCCGATGCTCCCGTCGTCGCGGAGCAGGACGGCGTAGGGCCGTCGGTCGGTCACATCATCGGCGTCTGACTTCCAAGGGTGAAGGGATCACACACGAAAGAAAAAAAAAACAAATCGCAAACAAGACAAGTCCAGCGCACGCCATGCGATCCACGCTGCTTCCTTGCTTATCGCGACTGTGTATGTATTGTTTTGTAAAGTAACAACCACAAGAAGAATACGAAGATATTGGAGTTTCTCTCTACTCTTCTCCTCTATATAATTAGGGATCACGACCGACCAGCTGCATCGCCAGCGCAAGAATTCCGATCCTCCACACCGCTACCCGCCGCCGCCGCCGCCGCCTCCTCTTCGCTCGAGCACCTGTTGCGGAGCGGATCGGTCGAGGAGGAGGAGCGAGGAGTTGAAGGACATGGCGAGCGCAGCTGGAGGCGGAGCAGCGGGGGAAGGGGAGTGGCTCAAGGTCGCCCAGCTCAGGGCCATGGTGGAAGCGCAGGACCCCCGCGCCAAGGTGAGCTGCTCATCGATCCACCCATTAATTAATAACCTGCTCCTCGCCCGGGTCCATTGCTCGATCGCCTGTTGCAGCCTGTCGTCGTCTCTCTCACCCAGCCTGCAGTGCTGATGCATCATCGTTGGCTCGTTCTTTTCTTGTCCTGCATTGTTCTTCTTCTTCCTCTTCCCGGCTTTGAAACCAGTGTTTCTTTTTCAGCGTTGACATAATACTACTACATTAATACTACTTTTGCCATCGACAAGAGCTGGGTTGGATGCTCCGAGCTTGATGATGGTTTGTCGTCGTCGTCCAAGAAGAAATCACCACTACGGACTTACGGAGTAGAATGTTTTGAATTTACAATACATGATTAGTTTTCCGTGAAACTAATACCAGCGTGATGTCATTATTCTTTTACAGATTTCCCTTCAAATAAAATCCTAATCAATGGCTTTGTTCGCTTGAACTTATCAGTCATGGAACAATGTTTTTCTCTCACAATAAATTTGGCTTATGTTGCTGCTTATGTTAATTTATTGTGAGAGGTGTGTTCAAATAATAATTCACAGAATGGAACAATTACAGGCATGCACTTGGGCAGTGGGCACTTCGCATCCATGGATATAAAATGCTCAACGCGCCAAGCATGGCAGCTATACTATTCTACTCCTACAGAATATTGCAGATTCGCATAGTAGAATAGCCTCAAAGCCGGAGGAGGCATCATGTTGAAAAGGAAAGGTCAATAAGAGACACGGACATGCCAGCCATGCTGTCCATCATGCTTTTTAATTTGCCTCTAAATTAATTAAATATTCAATCCTCTGTCTGATCCATCGATCCCTGTTGGTCAAGTCAAAGGAGGCAAGGTAATGACACTAGTAATTTCTCTAGATTACATTCCCCTTTTTTACCAAACAGTAAGATCCATCCATGCACGTGTCACTAGTAATTTCTCTAGATTACATTTCTTCTAGTCGCAAAAAAAAAAAAAGATTACATTTCTTCTCGCCAGGAGAAGGTGTGCACGGGCGGCGTCGACAGGGCCGGCCGCCCCTTCCTCGTCGCCTTCCCCGCCAGGCACTTCTCCGCCGGCCGTGACATGGCGGAGTTCAAGAGTACGTACGCACTTGTGGTCACCATGCTGGACTGCTGCTCCACCCATGGCTCCCTCCTTGGTCCTTTGCTAACATTTGTGACACCAAATAAACCTGGCGTCAACCTGAACCGTACCTGCCTGAGCTTCTTGTGCAGGTTTTGTCTACTTCTTCGACAAGATCTGTGCCAGGTAATCATTCATCAGTTCTGAAGTCCATCTAGCTCTAGCTGCAGGTTCTTCTCAGCTTCTGGTTAATTCTGCCACGCACTGCAAAACATCGTCTCTAATTCATCACGGGGACAAATGCAGAATCCCCAGAGGGCAGGAGAAATTCCTCTGCATCGTCGATCTCAAGGGCTGGGGCTACTCAAACTGGGACATCCGGGCATACATTGCGGCTATAGAGATCATGCAGGTATGTTCATCCATCAGTTATACTATTTCCGGCTTTCCGCCTAAAACCACACAAAAGTTTCCTTTCCTTTGGCACAACACAAAATTCGTTCTCTGATTCTCCTGTGCCTCGTGCAGAACTACTACCCGGAGCGGCTCGGCAAGGCGCTGATGATCCACGTGCCCTACATCTTCATGAAGGCGTGGAAGATGATCTACCCCTTCATCGACACCAACACCAGGGACAAGGTGATGTTCCCCCCATGTCGATCGGTCTCCGAACCCCAGCTGCTGCCACTGCTGCTGTACGCATTGCACTAGGAGATGATATCGATATGAACTGCTAGTGCTAGTAGCGTAGATTGACCGATCACTACTTCATCCTCGATCGATCGTCTCCTGACTGACTGTTTTGCGCGATGCGGTTTAATTATTCGCAGTTCGTGGTCGTGGAGGACAAGAGCCTGCAGGAGACGCTGCGGCGGGAGATTGACGAGAACCAGCTCCCGGAGTTCCTCGGCGGGAAGATGGACGTGATCCCTCTCAAGGACTATGGCGTGCAGGTGCAGCATCCTCAGGCCGTGTGACCGTACGCGTTGGTGGTTAGCTAGGAACACAGCATGGCCATGACCATGTTGTTATATATGACAGAGATGTATCTGTTGCTTCCACAGTAACTGTTGAACGAGCTGCTGCTGTTGCCCGGGTCAATTGATGCAGACCAAGATCTGGGTTACTATGTAAACATGAACAGGAAGGCACCTACCAAGCCCAACACGACTGTTCTCTCCCGTTTCCGTTATCCTTTTCAGTCCAGTGAAGTCAGTCTGAACTCTGAAGCAGCTTTTGGGCAAAAAAAAAAAAAAGGTTTCCTTCCTGTATAAATCTTCAGACATATTTGAAGAGTAACCAATCCCAGCGTCCTGGCCGTCCTAGCTCAGTGGTAGAGCGCGTGGCTTTTAACCACGTGGTCGTGGGTTCGATCCCCACGGACGGCGCCTTCGTTTTTTATTTTTTTGCCTTTTGTACACTCTCTTCCAAAGTTTCAACTCTCAAGCAGGCTGTAATTTTTAACAGACGTGAATTTACGGCTTGTAACTAGCCATCAACAACATGACATTATGTCACTAACTCAAGACTGTAATTTTTTTTATAAAAAAAGAACAACTCAAGACTGTAACATATTTAGCGCTTTGCTAGTCCTGAGAACATTGTACAGCGGGAAAAGAACATTTCTTGTGTTATAAAAAAGCACTGTTTCTCAATCCTAGAAAGCTTGGCGGCTGCAGATCTAAAGACATGTACAGAGTGTTGAAGACATTACCATTAAGGGTTCAGCAAGAAGGTAGAACCAGGGTTACTCCTCCTTAGTTCTTGTCCATAATCCCAAAGTAAACTATACTGCTCAGCTTCATCGCCCACATTTGTCGCAGGTAATCGGTGGGAGACCTCCTCCTTCACTTGGATCTGCAGCCGCCAAGCTGGAATCGATGGGCGTGCACGCCCATCGGAACTGGACCCCGAGGTCCAGCGTCGCCCTGCACCTGTCTTCACCGCCATAGGCTTCCACATCGCCATCGATCCTCAGAGGCCATGGGCCGTGGGCTCCTTCCTCCGCTCACCTCCTTCTCTCCCGGACGGCGCGCTCGAGAAATTGGGCGTGGGGGGGAATGAGAGGGAGAGACACAGCCAGGGGGTGTGAAGTGTGAAAAATACCCCCACTCATTGCGGGCAAGGTGCGTGGGCAGCCACCATGGATAGCCAAGTAGGCTCCAAACCTGCTTCCCAACCAGGATAGACTCACGGTGTACTATAAATAGAAAGATTAGGGACCTAAAACTGCACTTTGGAAGATGATGGACCTAGATGACACAGAGACAAAAAGTAATGGACCTGTAGTGCATTTTGCTCTAGAAATAATGTTCATTAAGATGGTAGGTAGTCGACCAAAAGAACATTATGGGTGTGCTTGATTTCCTGGCTTAGTTGTAGCTTAGCTAGGATTGTAGCCTGGCTTTAGCAAGCTAACTTGGGGTTGTTTGGTTGTTTTGTACTATGTAAGCCTAGCTAACCCCATAACGTATTTGGTTGATTGGTTTATTTTAATACAGTCACCTCTTCTCCGAATTGATAAGTTCACCCTCTTTGAGAGATTTTGTCGAACATGCGGTGGGCAGGGTAAGCAAGCCGAGAATAGCAGCACCACGGGCACGGCAGAGCGCTGCTCGAGTCGCGGCTCCGCAACCTCGGTGAGGTGGGCGACGAGTGACACCTCCACTACCTTCTTGCTCAGCGCCGTGCAGAGAGCAGAACAAGGGATCCCGAGGAACCCGGCGTCAAGTCGTGGAGAGAAGGGAGCATCATCGAGTCCAACGCGGCACCTCGTCAAGTCGTGAAGGCTAGGACTAGGACACCGCCGGGCTGTCCGCGTCAAGCACCTCGGCCCCTTCTCCGGCGAGCCCCCGAGCTACCTCACCACGAGCTGGAGGTCATCCACTCCTCGCTGGGGCATGCTCGGCGCGCTGTGCTGCGTCTTCCCCGAGCTGCTCCCCCGCAACGGCGTCCAGTTTGGCGAGGCCGTCTGGTTGAAGGCCGGCTCCCAGATCTTCAGCGAGGGCGGCCTGAACTACTGCAGCAGTGCGTCGAACTCCGCCTGGTTGAGCTGCTTGTTGATCTCGGTGTTGAAGAGGCGCTCCATCTCGTCGAAGTCGGTGGTGTAGAACCGGGGGCGTGAGCATCGTCTCCTGGATCTCCGTCTTGCCCCGCTTCTTGGGGCCCGAGAACTTGAGCAGCGCGGCGGCCGCGATGGAGGCGGACACACAGCAGCGGACCACGGAGCGCCCCGCGAGGGGTATGACGGCGGCGAGGCCCCCGAAGTGGCGGTGCGTCGCGGCAGGGTTGAGGAGCAAGAGCTCCATGGCGGAGGAGGCCACTGGTGGCGACGGGCTGGACAGGCGGTGGCGAGGACTGTGCAGTAGTGGGAGCGACCGCTGCAATAAGCAGGGACGAGCGAGGACGTCCGCGGCCCACCGCCTGCCGAAGGGGCACCGGAGGGATGGGAGACAGACGCGGACGGAAGACACGCTGAGGGAGGTGACAGGAACAGGACTCGCGCACCTGGACAAGCCTGGCTCCAGGAGAACGACGCGTTCTTTCCTGGCCTGGCTAGGAGCGTACAGTTGGCTCTCCGAAGCCAGGCCCCGGCCCATGTACAAGTAAAGCCTGGTTTAGGTGGGTGAAATGTGGAAATTTGATTACGGTAGTATTTTCGTTTTTATTTGATAATTAGTGTTCAATCATGGACTAATTAGGTTTAAAATGTTCGTCTCGCGATTTTCCACCAAACTGTGCAATTATTTTTCTTTTCCGTCTATATTTAATGCTTCATATACATATCGTAAGATTCGATGTGATGACTAATGTAGTATTTTTTGGAAAAACTTTTTTTGTACTAAACGTGGCCTAACCAAACAAGCCTAACATGACTTCGGTGAACCAGGTCAGAGGTTGGCCACCGAATCTATTAGCCCAGGCAACTTCGTGCAGGCACCAGGCTCTTGATTTTGATGGCCTGGCGGAGGATCTACTTGCCAGGCAGCAGCTAAACCAGGACACGAACCAAACATGGCACAGGCAGGGTACAGGCTCCAAACTAAACAAGCCCGGCGTGCGTGACGAGTTCGGCAATGGAACGGCGCGCGGCCACGGGCAGATGGAAGAGCACGGGAGCCACCGACGCAGCGTACTACACGAAGACGCCGAGCACCAGATGGAAGGCAAACGCCGGGATCTGCGCCTGCCTCCTCCGCGGCTCCGCGCCCGGCCACCCCCGCCAGGAGACGAGAGTACAGGGGAGCGTGCGCGTAGACCAAACTAGCATCTAGAGCATGTTCGCTTGAACTTATCAGCTAGAATATATAGTATTTTTTTCTCACAATAAAACAGCTTCAGCCGGCTTTAATACCAAAATTAACAGAGACGGAGCCAGCAAACAAATACAACAGGCCTCAAACTCTCGACTACTCTCCCGAGTCTCTCCTTGTCACCCCCAGCCCCGCCCCCACCCCCACCAAAGGACCCCTGCGAAAAAAGAAAGAAACCCCAATCTCCCGATTGGTACGTGCCATGGCGGGGCCAGGGTGTGATTCTGATCATGGCGTGCCACTGGCTGAGCCGAGGGAAGTTGATCCTATCATCCCGACTGAACACCCTTGGAACCTGCCTGCAAGGTTCTATGTCCCCCAGGCTCTGGTAGCGCAGGTGAGCCAACCTCTCTTCAAATGTTGTCTTGTTTTACCTGCTTCATGGCACTGAAATTATAACTATATAATCAGATGAGGGTGATGTGGTGATACTCCGGGAGGCAAATATGCCGATCGACATAGAAACTAGGAGGGTTGTGGCGCGGGTCTCCCAGGCAGTGGTCGTCGTCGCCTCCGTCGATGGTAACTTCATGGGCACCATGTTCTCTTGCGTGTTCCTGATTCCTGCACTCTATTAAATTAGTTAAATCTTTCGCCTTTTCAAAAAAGAGCCCACCTTTGCCACTCTAACGTACAAATGTACTCTATTCTTAGCTATAGTGGTAAGATAAAGAAAGATTACACCTTTACAACATGTCCTCAGGTTTTAGCTAGCTAGAAGTGTTTGGATCATCAGATTCACCCGCGCCAGCACTCAAGTGACGACCGGACGCATAGGAGACAGGACCGGACGCGCCGGTGCCAGCCCTGCTCATGGGCGCGTGCCCGTGCCATCGCCCAACGACCGGACGCGTCGCTCCCCACGATAACCCAACATCAGATCGTTTCCAGCAAACATCCAGAGGTGATTTTTCGTGACCAGACGCGCCCGCTTAGGTGTGACCGGACCCAGGCTAGAGTCCGGTCCTTCTTATCCTCTACGCGCCAACGCTTCATGACTAATGTCAGCGTACGTCACCTTCTAGCCGGACACAGGCCCTACGCATCCGGTCACTTTCACTCTTTAGCGTCCGATCAAAGGACCGAGAGCGGCCTTCACTACGCGCCACTGACCGAACGCGGCTGCTGAGTCCGATCACTGCTAAAGCAGCGTCAGGTCACCTCGAGACAGCCCCTTCTCAACTCCAACTTTACCACCCTTGACTAAATGTGCCAACCACCAAATTTATCACCTTGTGCACGTGTGTTAGCATATTTTCACAAACATTTTCAAGGATGTGAGCACTCACTAGAGTCCAAATGCATATGCAATGAGTTAGAGCATCTAGTGGCACTTTGATAACCATATTTCGATACAAGTTTCACCCATCTTAATAGTACGGCTATCAATCCTAAATGTGATCACACTCGCTAAGGGTCTCGATCACTAAACTAAAAAGCTCTTATCAAGTTTTATTTTTGCCTTGAGCTTTTTGTTTTTCTCTTTCTTCTTTTCTAAGTCCAACCGCTTGATCATCACCATGGTCACACCATCATCATGATCTTTACTATTGCTCCACCACTTGCAATAGTGCTACCTATCCCATAATCACTTAAATAAACAAGGTTAGCACTTAGGGTTTTATCAATTCACCAAAACCAAACTAGAGCTTTCAATCTCCCCTTTTTGGTAATTAATGACAACCCTTTCACAAAGATATGAATTAAAATTTATTTGAATCCATGTTGCTTGCCCAAACATATTTACTATGTGTAAAAAAATATAGACAAGTTTTATAAACCCCCATTGGTAGCATTTGCTCCCTCTACATATGTGCTAAGAGTTTGGATTGAAGCTTGCATATATGCATGGATTTGAATTGTGGGAGAGTAATGTCTACCAAATGATGCTAAGGTATAAGAGATGGACCTTTAAAGCGTGATACCAATCGGAGTGCACCAATATATCATCCTTAGCACCATTAGTAACTAGACATACACAAAAACTAGAATATCCCGTGAGATCAACATTAAAAGTAAGGGTCTAGTTTTCACAATATAAGCACAAATATAGTTACTCAACCTATGCATGCTAGTTTTTCATTTCATCATTTAAACCTACAATTAGCATACACCACACAAGCATGGAATTTGAAAATTAAAAAAAACTTGTGCCATGCAAACAAACATATGAAATGCACACTCAAATGCATCAATCAAGTTTATGAGCTTGCTCCCCCTACTTGAGTGCTCAAATTTTAATTGATCCCCTTACTTTCTCATATCTCTCCCCTTATATTAAAGTCCCCCCCTTGTCATCTTTCATTTTTTCACTATCTTTGTGTAATTTCTCCCCTTTTATCATCAATGACCACAAAGATTCAATTTTAGATAGGTTAAGATTATCAATGTCAATCAATGAGGTGAGGATCATTTTTCTATATTTGGTTTAATCTAGAACACTTGTCAAAAATATTTAACTCGGTTTGATCCAATGACAAGCTTCTTCACACCTCATTTCAAGGGTTATCTTGTACCATGTTGAGTTAAATACTTATAGCTCATTTTCTAGATTAAACACTAGGTTCACAAGCCCACAAATATATCATATGCTACCACTAAATCAAATCAATAATAGAAGCATTAGTGGTACCATATAAGTATCAAATTCATTTGATTTTCTTAAATGAGCCTAAGACATGTGAGGAATGACTAGATGCACTAAGCAAATCCTTAGCAAAGGATGTACGCATGCCAATCAACTTTTACCTTGAATTGCTTGAAGGAGAGGCATGTCATATAAGTGGGGGTGCATCAACACATATTTGAGAAATCTAATATGTTCAACTTATTCCTTAGCTTGTAAAACATTTTCTCATTCAATGGCTTGATGAATATATCGGCAAGTTGGTCTTCGATGCCCACACTCTCAATGTAAATGTCCCTTTTTTGTTGGTGATCTCTAATGAAATAGTGGCGGACATCAATGTGCTTTGTTCTTGCATGTTGAGCAAGATTGTTGGTTAGCTTGATTGCACTCTCATTGTCACAAAGCAATGATATTTTCTTGAACTTGATTTCAAAGTCATTTAAGGTAGCCTTTATCCAAAGTATTTGTGCACAATAACTATCGGCGGATATGTATTCGGCTTCGGTGGTTGATAATGCAACACTATTTTGCTTCTTTGATGACCATAAAATAATTGATCTTCTCAATAATTGACATGTGCTCGAGGTGCTCTTCCTTTCAATCTTGCATCCCGCATAATTTGAGTTGGAGTAATCAACTAGCTCAAACTTTGCTCCTTTGGGATACCATAAACTAACATTTTTATGTATCCTTCAAGTACCTTAATATTCTCTTTGTAGCCTTCAAATGACTTTCTCTTGGTGAGGCTTGAAATCTTGCACACATGCACACACTAAGCATGACACCCGGCCTTGATGCGATCACATAGAGTAGGCTTCCAATCATAGACCGATACAACTTTTGATTCACCATGTTGCCACTTGCATCACTATCCAAGTTACCATATGTTCCCATTGGTGTACTAATGGCCTTTGCCTCATTCATGCCAAACTTCTTGAGCATGTCTTTGATGTACTTGTCTTGACTCACAAATGTACCATTCTTTAATTTATTGATTTGAAGACCAAAGAAGTAACTCAACTCTCCAATCATGGATATCTCGAACTCATTAGCCATAATCTTTCCAAACTCTTCACAAAAGTCTTGATTGGTTGATCCAAATATGATGTCATCAACATAAATTTGCAACATAAACAAGTCTTTGTCAATCTTTTTGGTAAAAAGAGTGGCGTCAACCTTGTCCATCATGAATTCTTTAGAGAGTAGAAAGTCCCTCAACGTCTCATACCATGCTCCAGGTGCTTGTTTCAATCCATACAATGCCTTTTTCAACTTGTATACATGGTCGGGTTTCTTGTCATCTTCAAAACTGGGAGGTTGCTTAACATATACTTCTTCATTGATATAGCCATTTAAAAATGCACTC